GTCCAGAGGCTTACCATCGAAAAGAGGCAGTCGTAGGTCACTGCACTTATGATTCGGATTTCCGTTACGAAGCGAAGTGATTGCCTGTGCTAATAAAGCTATATCAGAACGTTGTGGTTGTTTTAATTCAGTAGGATTTATACTATTAGAAGTGAGAATATTCGCTGTGGTAAGAGGAGGGTTTGGCTCTTGTGAGCTTCTCCTACCACTCTTGTCTACTTTATTAGGAATATTGTCAATTTTATCTAACCATTTTTCGACCGACGATCGGGAGCTCCTGAAGCTTCTACCACTCTCCGATTCTAGAGCTGCCAGTTGTGACTCTAGTTCCAAATTAGCTGCTTCTTGTTCGGCATTGGCTGTGACCCTGGCTGCTTCCACTTGAGCAATTTTTCTAATATGTTCAGCCTGCAGAGCTAACCTTTGTGCACGAACAGTGGCAGACGATCGGGTAGATCTGGAACCTCGAGAAAGAGGACGAGCCTCAGCAGATGTAGATGCTACTGGATCACTCATATTTGTACTATTAGGTCTTTTGTCCCGGAGCTTACTTTGTGACCTAGTTTCCACCATCAAAGAATTTTGAAAAAATCTGAATTTTGAAATGATTTTTATTTATATATATATAAAAGGGGTTCAAATAGAGGTAGAAGGACCAGAATATTGAGGAGGATGATGGAAATCAGGTATTTTAAAACGAGATAATGGAAGATTTATTTTTTATCTTTTATGTTACAAATTTTAGTACAAAGAGTAAAGTATCAAACAAAAACCAAAATGACATTCTTTATAAACTTAAAATAAAACAATCAAAGATATAATGAGGTGCTATCGTGCACAATATAAAAAAATATTTTGGTTGTAGTTATATAGGTATTATATATAAATATTTTGTATGATCATCATATCAGCCGTTGGATGCCCATTGCTAGGCATATTCTGCCTCCATGAGTCTCCACAATGATCGGTCTTGCGCTGCCTCATCCAGCGGCTTCCCGCGATCTTAATTAGATCGTCGGTCCACCTGGTTGGGGTAGGCCCAGACGACGCTCTGTGGGTAGACCTACTGAGTGATCGACATTCGAGAACTTTTCCGCCTCAAGGGCCATCAGTTCTATTGTTTCCCGACCACTTCCACTTCAACTGAGCAATCTTTCGAGAAATGTCAGTTACGTTAGTTCTGCTACGGGTATCATCGTTTCTTATTCAATTACGTAGGGAAACACCAAAAATTGCTCTCTCCATTGCCTGCTGGGTGATCCGAGCCTGCTTTTGAGACCCATAGTAAAAGATCACGTTTCACTTCTGTAGGTCATCACAGAAGTGAAACGTGATGTATAAGACTTTTGTCTTGAAACACTGAGGTAAATCGGACGCGAAGATTTTTCGTACCTTCGCAAACGCTGTCCACCCGAGATGAATTCGACGAGAGTCCTCTTTCTCAAATTTGGTCTTATCAAACTGGACTGTCTGTCTAAGATAAACGTAATGTTTGACAACTTCGAGTGCAGTATTCCCAATTTTTGCTGTAGTGGGTACAACATGGGAATTTGACATAATTTTTCTTTTTGCCATGTTCATCTTGCGACTCTCTCTTTGTGAAGGACTACTGAGATCTTTGAACATGCTGATCAGTTCTTCAAAAGTCGCAGCCGTTGCTGCAAAACCGTTAAAAGTTAAAAAAAAAAGTTAAAAAAAAAGGGCAAAACAAAGTTAAAAAATATCCTCCAACTCAGCGGTGAATAGTTTTGGAGAGAAGTAACATTTCCTTGTTTCACGCGTCGCTGCAATTGGATTGGACCTGAGCTTGGGTTCTGTAAATAGTATATTTTGTATAGTTTGACAGAAATTGGTTCAAAATTTACACACCTTATAATATAAATATCCGTTGAATGTAGAAATAGATCCTTTCGTATTTTGAATTAATGCAAAGTACGCCATCGTTTGTTTTTTCGCTGATATAAATATGTTATCAAAATATATAGGTGATTTGATTTGATGAGCGGCGTATTTTTTATTCGTTTTCAATAAATTGAAAATGGAATCACCTCGGTCCATTAAGCTGTCGAATAAAAAAGAATTTTTGAAAATCGTTTTATAATTGGCGGAGTCATCGCGTTACAATCACACAAAAAAAACATGTAGTCAAATTGAGAACCTCCTCCTTTTTTGCAGTCAGCTAAAAATCAGCATCATTAAAAACATTTTTTGACGCGCTACACGCCATAATTTGTTAACGGGTGAATTTATTTGGTTTTTTTTGCTCCTTTGTGTTAGAAGCCCAACCTATATTTTTTGGTGTTCAAAATATTACGTTCCATATAAAACAGTTTAATGTAACCTCAGTATAATAATATAAACGAGGTTATTTAATTTGATTTGTTAAGCATATGAATTTTCAACGTGAAATCTAATAACATCATTTAACCCTTTGTTATTAGAGCTGACCTATTTTTATTCATTATACAAATGAATAGGTACATTTGGAATCCATAGAATACGCAGTTCAATGATTCTTAACTCTCAATGCTCTTGGCAAATGTCCAATTGGAAAATTTGTACATTAATTATAATTTAATGTAATATTTTACTAGAGTATGTAAATTAGTTGTTTATGAGGTAGAATTCCTTGTAAAAGTTTAGTATTGTGTATATTGATCAAAAATAACATATAAACTTAAATACTCATTCGTTTCTTGTAGAAATATCACATATTATAATGTAACATCAAATTTAATAGGTACTTGGCGTTCTTTATTTTCAGATTTATTTATAACTGCTTTCTCTCTCTAGTCAGTTTTTCATTACTGAATATCGTGGTCATTGGATTCTAAGAACAGCACTGTTTTCCTCTATTTGTCCCGTTCCATAGCTACTGTTATTGCTCTATACAATTTGGTAAATTTGGTGGAGAAAGTGAAATATATTTGAGATTTAGCGATCAATCTGAATAACAGTTTCAAACATGACAGTAAATATTACGTTAAATAAATAATACGAGTAGCTTTTAGAGTATACCTTACTGAATTGAATTAGAATTTGCTTTGTTTCATCTGATTAGATATGCCGCTGAATTAGGTTTTCAAGGTGGGTGTGTACATGAAACGTATCTCAACAACTGAAAGGGAACGTAAGCGTGGAGGGTGGAAGGAGACTCAAGGGGGCGCATAACTTAATAATGAAAATTAAGTAGATTGTGAATGAAATGAATCGAGTTTCAAATATATTTTTTTAAACTTTTAAACTGCTGTAAGTGAAGGCCAGACAGAGAATAACCGAATTTAAAAAAAAAATAGGTATTCGTAAAGGTATCCTGCTGAAATCCACGCAATAATAGTACTTCCAGTATTCAACGGCATTAAAATTAAGTTTTAGTTATTTTATTTATATTTTATAGTTAAAGTCGACTTTGAAACCAGTGCCTAATACTGAGATATTACAATAATTTATTGTAACCCACATTATTAATAAATAAAATAAAACAAAGTCCGTATTTTTAAACTTTCTCATTGTGTATTTTTATTAGTATTACGGTAATAATACTCATGATATATCTTTTGATATACTTGTATCGAACCATTTAATTTGATTCCTATTTTGTAGTATTTGAAACAAAAAAAAAACATTATATAATGGCGTCGCATAGACGCCATATTTGATTTTTTGAACGTTACCTTTCTAGGAACGCTTGTACTACAAAGACAAATATAATGATCCCTCAATAATCAAAACTCGTTCAGCGGTTCTGAAGATATGGGTAATAAAAATAATACATATATATAAGGTTATGTTTTTCCTTTTCCTTGCAGTCGGGTAAAAAAGAGATATTCTGTACGATGTGTGATCGTGTTATCGTCAATCGATGTCTATCTCATTGACATGTCTCGCGATTTCATATCTCGTTCTCTTCAGCTATGCGTACTCTGAAATCAGTGAACTGAAAATTAATTAATCTATTGCCGGTACGATTACGTTGTCTTGCGTCATCGTTGGACTAGAGACATTGATGGATAATGATGGTGACATCAAAGAATCTTTTTTTAGCATATTATATCAATTGTCCTTTTTGACCCCCGCACAAGTCAAAAGTTTCGTGATGAATTTATAATCTCAATGAAAATTGGTTTGAATTACGTTAAATATATATATTTTTTCTATTATTTCTTTTAAAATCTCGTGCACTAAAAGAGTTCAGTTCCTTGTTGGTGTTGTTTTTGATCTCTTTCAATCCACGTTTTTGTTTCGTTTAGTTAATTTGTACATTTAACATCACGTCAGTTGAGTTACTAAACGATTACGATTGTCATTGTGTGCTATTTGATGTAATTCTTTGTTATATTTTGTCTCCTTTTTATTTATTCTGCTTTCACTTTTATTATAAAATTAGCGTTATGTCTTATAACACCTGTCTTTCAGCTAGTTACACAAACGTTCATAAAAATTTTCATTAGTTTAAAGCAACATTACCCATACAAATTGGACATTAATTGTAACTTAAAGGTGTTATTAAACCTTAATGGACGTTTGTGTAACTGACTGTTTGTTTAGTAAAGTACTAGTTTTTATAGAGACATAATTATAGTGAGCATCTAAGTCGCATTCAACTAAAAACCGTTTGTCAAGTCCAAAAATAAAACGCTTCTCTACTACAAGTATATTAATAACTAAAAAGTGTACACCGACCCGAGCGTTGACACAGTAAATGGAACAATTAAAATTGTGTATTTAAAAACTTATTATTATGACGCGTCATAAAACATCTCTAGCCGCCAACGAATAGTTTTCACCTGTAATGAATACATTCAACCGGTTCTCAATCTCAGCGCGGTGCCTCTAATTCCGGTAAAGCACAGAGTCCAATTTCCTATATTTTTTAGGCGTACCGCGAAATTGCGGTTACAAAACTTCAGTTGATACTGCAACTACAGAGGAGTGCTGACGTTTTGATAGCATAAATCTGGAGTAACGGTTCGTTTACAATAGTGAAATGTTGATTACAGAGGAAGATGAGTCACAGATCTTCGTGAAGTTCTTCAAGTTCCACAAGTGCTACGACCTTATACCGACCTCCGCGAAGCTCGTGGTATTTGACACGCAACTTCTCGTCAAGAAGGCATTCTTCGCTCTTGTATACAATGGTGAGTGTTAGTTTAATAAGCTTGCGAATACATTTGGCTAGTTTTAATCTCTTAGTAAATCTTATTCTTATAGTTCGTGATCGTGAGTCACTATTATTATTATTCAGCTGAATAATGTGCCGAGCTATCGATGCTTAGGCGATTTCTCTTCGACGCGTTTATCGATAGTTATTTCCTCGTCCAACATAATTATATCAACAGTTGTGATGCTTCCAGTTAACTAATTATAGATAAGTAAATATACACTTTACTAACTCGTATTTCGTTATATCGTATGTCGTTTTATCCGAAGGTCGTAAAGTTTTAATCGTGTCCTTATCTCTTTGTACATATGTGACTATTTGTTTTGGGCTTTACTTTGATTATGCAATGCGAATTCGTACATTTTTTATCGATCATTCGTGATTAAGCAGTGCCGAAATGATAAAATGACACTATCCGAATTGCGCAGCGCACGGCGAGCGTTCTTTGTCGTTGACAACTGTTGTAAATTCAATTGTTTATTTTGATACAGCTGCGAAATGGTCACTCCCGAGGTCCTCCGAAAGTAACAATACGAGATCATTGACCATGGATACAAAGGTGTATATCGTTCTAGATATTGACGTTATTTTTTATCAATTATCTACTTCTATCGTATTTTTATGTAATAAGATAAATGAACTCAGATGTTATGTGATATAATTATGGCATATTGAATTGGTTATTATATTTTCGATTTCGAAATGCAGCTATATGCGGACTTTAATATTTTCAAGATTATTGATATAGAAACAAATTTGTTGTTTCATTAATTGATATCAAACATAATTGATGATGATAAGGTACAAGCATTAAAAAGATTTAAGTAAAACAACAGAAGCATCGTGTACAATGGTTGTACATTAGATAAAATTGCATTTAAATTTTCTAGTTAAAATGCATTAATGTATGTTGATGTTTCATGCCAATTCGATAACCGGAAATTGAAACTTACCGTTGTTCAAGTCGCTCTAAATGCAAAACAATATCTGTAATTGATTTAGTTTTTACAGTCTCCACTGTGAGGAGTCGTATTGTTTCTTCAGGGGGTACCAACTAGATCTCAGCGTTATAATAAAACTGTACATATACATACTAGACAGCTCGTATTTGTGTGTACATTATCTTCACATTCATGAAATGTAAATGTAACTCACTTCCTTATATTCCATAAATGTGTTTTAATTAAATTTGTATTGTAACACTGTGTTGTTATAGTTTTGTGCAGTGGAGATTGTAAATTGGGTACTTATTAAATTCTGAAAAATTCGAAGATTTAGAGCAGTCTCAAAGTATACTTTTTCTGTTTAGAGAAATGCTTATGAAGATGCTTCATATATTGCATTGAGATACATATTTATTTATTGAGACACTATTTATTGAAAATGACTCCGATAATTTTATATCGTTTCGTTTTTTGCCACTTACAACCGATGATAAAATAATAATATGTTAAAGATATCAGACGTGTCTATAATCAGAAATCTAGTATCAGAAATTTAAGAAGTGTTTTTATTTATATTTTAAAACTAACATAAGTTTTATTTTTATACAAGCCAGTTAACGAGTGTAGGTATACTGACAAAGATAGGTCATCAACATCTATGTACAGCAGGTATAACATAAGTAGCAACGTGTTTATAGTCATCTGTTTTCTCTTTTATAACTCCGATGTTAGCAGTTAAAAAAATGAGAGAAAAAATCCGCATATAATATCAGTAGTACCATATCGAATATAAAATTTAAATTTGTGTACTGATTACATTTTCTCCCATTTAGAGGTATAGGAGAATGGGTAACGGTTGAAATGAGTCATCTCTACGATTAGGTCATAATTTTAAGAAATTATGTTTAATGAAGTTTATTACATAAAATTGCCAAATTAAAAAAAAAATATATATATAAATAACCCAGTCCTGAGTTAGTTTGGATCAATGCATGACTGATAGTGAATGGACTCGAGTAAATTACAGTTCTATAAAACTCATTAAAAGACAGCAGATTCAGTATTATTTCCGTATTTGCACTGTTATTGGTCTTATATAATAAAAAAATCCAAGTAAAATAGCATTTCCATCTCTGGAGAAAAAGGTTAAATTATGTTAAGTCTTGAAAACATAATTAATCCAATCAGTCTATGTTTTGTAAATAACCCTCTGAAATTATTTTTATTAATCATTTCATCTTGTTTATGTTAACTTTTTACTAGCGTTCTGGACGATGGAATACATTTTTGTAAATCGTGACCCACTCTCCTTTAAACACTGTGATAAGGACATCAGAGCTAAAAATACAGATTACTAATTGTGTATTAATAATATTTTTCGCATACACATACTAAATACTTCGTGGGAACTTTAACTGATGTATACACCATTTGAGAGTTCATCTAGATTAAATATATTTTTAAATTAAAAATCTTTTTTTGAGGGATAAGTGCTATTATTTTAAGAATGAACCGGTCACACATTTCATAACTACCTGTATAAGATGTTAAGAGATAAGTAAGTATTCGCATTGAGAATTCTCGTTTTTAAGAAAAGTAAAGAATTGGCTACGCATATGAAAGATTGATTTTATTTATTCAGTATAAGCTTTAATGACGTAGACGGCTACTATTAGATTACGGTGGGTTTTACTTCAGTAAGTTCACATCACTTTTGCCATATCATAAATCTCGGGAAAGCAGAATATATTTTCATATATTTTTATTTATGAACGTATAGGCATATTATTAAGCTCTCAATCGGCTTTTTCCTTTGTGAGAATGTTCTTCTCGGTAATCATCGATTATTGAGTTAATCGGGTGTGAAGAAGCTTTAGAAATACACACTTACACATCACCACATGTGTTTGCAACAACATGTCACATTACCGCAGAGGAAGTTCAACTTAGTTTTCAAAGAATGAAGGCATAAAGTAAATTAAAGATTTGATAATATTGAAATTTTTGGTTTTTAACCTGATGTTATTGGTACAGTCTGTCTTATATTTAAACACGAGTATCAGTAAGCATTGTGCCATAGTTATTTATAGTATTACGTTGTTTTAATAAGTAATTAATATTATACAGGCTGGTTTTTTGAGACGGGACAGTAAGGGCATATATCTTCTTTTAAACTAGTTTTGAATGCAACGGAACGGAAATGCTTGTTATATGGTTATAAAAGACAGTTCTGTGAGTAACATAATGAACGGACGCATGGACAGATGGATAGTGTCGTCATATATTTTGATTTAGTCGGTAAGCTTTAAGCTTTAAATATATATTAAAAATAGCACAAGTTCTAGAAAGAATTAAAAATGTGTAAATAAATTATATGAATTTTAGGGTATACCTTCATCTGGAGCATTTGTTTCTAATGTAACATTATTAGTATGATTTCTGAAATTGCAGTACCAATATCAATACTGCAACCCTGTTGCGAATATTGCCATGTACAAATGGCCACACGGTTATGTGCACAGTTTTTTGCTGACTCATCACATGAAGAATTTAAGGAGTGTGATGAATTTAATTTCCACGAATAATACTTTGCGAATAAAATTTTGATTAGAAGGACCTTGCTCCGAGATAATATGCAGGGTCTGATGATGGAAGGTGACCATGGGAACTTTCTTATTAATTACCTCAACCCCGACGAGTTTGGGCTTGTTTGATTTGCTACAAGATCTTTGGTCCACGAGTCCATAATAATATTCAAGAAAAACTTTTTTTAACACATACAGAAACACACCATTTGACAGCTGAAAAGTGACAAAACTATATTTATGGACAAAACTTAAAAAGAATTTACTTATGTTACGCCATTAAAAAAAAAAGCAGTTATAATTATTGTTTTATAAAATTTCTATATTTAAAATAAAATTTCTATATTCTATAATAATTTTTATTAGTACAAACTCCAACTCAAACTCATTATAAAAATTACCTGCATATAAGAAATTCACGTTTTTTTTTATTAATTAATATTTTCTGACCATTGATTTGAAACTCTTCTCATCCACAAATGTTTTAGTCAAAATTATAGTACTGAAGATAAAAAACTTTGTCCCCTTATTCCAATATTTTTTTGGTTGGTAGGTTTTGTTTTGCTGTAGACTGAATTTATTGAAACGACGGGAAATTGATTGAGTTGAAATCTGTAACATACAAGGAAATACATTAAACTATACTCGTATAAGTAACAAGCATTAACAATTGCTTTAACTTTTAATAGAATAACAATATCGACCAGTAATCAATTATAAACTAAACCTAATCTTACACTTCTCTTACACAAATATAAACTGAAAAAAAAAACTAAACATAAAGTTGGTTGTATTAATGAACGAATTTGTTGTTGTGTAAGTTATTTAGATCTAAGCTTTTGAAATATTTCAGCAACTGACATCACAATTAGGTTATTGAAAATAATGATCTCTTTCCATTGTGATAAATCATTCAGGTATTTTAATCAAAATAAGTAGTAGACTTTGTATTTACTTGTATTTTAATTAATTGCAGATTTTGAAAATTATGTTATGATGGATTTCACAATAATATTTTTTCTTTTATAATTTTGCGTCTATTTTCATGATCGTATGAATATTTCCCAAGAACCTTTACCTCTTTTTAATACTAGTAAAGATGCACTAAAGTAATGTTGACTTGATTATTTTGTTTATATTCAAAGTATACGTTTTGGGTGCTTAATTTTTCAAAATATTTAGAAAATTCTTCGGAGTTCGATTCCCATCTGAAAAGCCTAAGGAGCATATCAATGAAAAGCCTAAGGAGGCGGGCGAAAGAGAAATTGTTTTTGTATACAAAGATAACGATTTCTAAAGTTACGATCTGTCGCCTTTTTCGGCTCGTTCCATTCTGATCGATGAGCGAGCACCTTTATTCTAAGTCTCTTTTCGTCTTACTAAGTCTTATAGAGTTCTCTGTACGTGAGTACAACTTGTGCTTGGCTGTTTTTGATATCATCAGGTATACAGTAGGTAGTCTGAATATTTTTTTGTAATAACCTATTCTGTTGATTATGGTTTCTGAATTATTCAGGAAATTCTGTATATTTAATGAATATTATCTTATGCACAACCATTGTGATGTTAGTATGATATTAGTGTTCTATAATGGAGTTTAAAAGACTTCAATGTTGGAACTGGTATTTTTAGCAATTGGACGTAACATTATATAGAAAACATTGGTTTAGTTTGTCGACGAGCGATAGACAATTTGTCGATTTCCATTAGCGTGATGTGAAATATGATATTATTATAGATTTAGATTGAAATATAATTGAATTGCTTGTAAAACGTATATATAGTCGGATTTGTAATTCTAAACAAGACAAAGATATTAAAAATAGTTTTTATTTATGTTTACAAACAAAACAAAACAAAAACCTATTTTGTATTGTTTGAATAAATCAATTATATAACGATTGTCCTTATTTTCTTTTCCGAAGGTCGCATTGGAACTTTGCCAAATTCTATTGATTAGTCTCTTAGCAGTGGCTTTCAACACACACTTATAAGACTTCTGTAATAATAAAAACTCTATTTTATTGTTTAGTAAACATTGTGGATTTTATCTTTCAAATAAACAGCCTAAGCATATTATATGTCGCATAAGTTTTATTATAAACAATTAATAATATTATTTAAATTATATTAAAAATTCGTATACCAAGACTCCGCAACTGAAAGATAAATTACGAAACAAAAGCAGCTGATCTGGTGTGCAACCGCCTAACTTTGCAGCCATGGAAGACATGTTAACGAATATTGTGATGATATTTCATTTTATTTTAGTACTGCCAAATCTATATTCATCATTCTTCATACATGTTAAAATAATAAAATGAAACGAATTACGTTATAACATCTACGTTATAACTCTGTTGGAAAGCAAAGTATTTAGGTTATTGATTATCACAGTTGTCACTTGATCGCGGCTAGAGCATTTAATTATTCGTCTTATTACTATTAAAAAAAAAGAAAAGCAATATACTTTATTTTCTTGTAGAACTGTATACGTAGTTAATATATTTCTTATACGGGTTCCGGACCTGTCGTTTGCTACGAATTTTGGATCCCATAAAAACAGTCCAACACGCTAGCGTGACGAACTCTAGAATGTTTTGTCTACACTCAAATGGCATTTGTCTCCGGTGCGCTCAACAACATCTCACTCTCGACCCGGGAAAGTGACATTTGAGTATAGACGAAGCGTTTCTCGAGTTGTCATGCTACACGTTCTGTTAGAAGAAACTCTAGAAATTCATCAAAACCATACATCACTCTGTAATTATCATAAATAATACATCACAAAACAATTACTCACGCCAAATTAAACTTTGCAACAAGTCTGGCAGGATATACAAACTTTGAAGTTTGTTTACTTTGATGTACGCGCAAAAACCGATGCATATGGCCGACTCCAAATGTGTATTCAAACTTTGTACTCATTCGTAAATACCCGTGCCACATTTTGCGCCTTTCTAGGTATTTGCGTATTTGAAGACACGTCTGGCACGGGGTACTAAAGTTTGAAAAAAAAAAAAACATTTATTGTTAGGTAAATAATGGACTTTCAGTTTGTTGTTTTCACCCAGGCGAGTTTATTACTTTTTTGCAATTTCAAAAAGAAGGATGTTATGATCCACGATAACTCATCGGCAATGACACGATTATGATTTTTTTTAAAATATCTTGAGAAGGTCCCATGAACTTTTCGTGATTAATTACGTCAGTAATTTCCTTGTGAATTCTTTAAAAAAATTATAACGTCACCCTTCCATCATAATTAAAATTCCAAAATGAAATTATTTGTGTCAAAAAACAAAATTTGACTTTACGTAACCGACATATAATTCTTAATTACTAATTGTGCAGTTTAATAAATCCAAGAAATATAGTTCACCGTCGGTTAAATACACGGCACGACGAAAGTTCTTGAATTTGTTAATTCTTAATTTTTAGTTTAAAAAAATATTTCTATTATTCTAGGGATTTAGTATACGTATATTAGTTTACATAGTATGTTTGAAGTAATTATACCCTTAGACACCGAATATGGTTTTACTGGGAAGGCTACTGTCAAAATGCGTGCCTCTCAGTCGATAAAACAGTTCCTACAACGCATCTCGTATTTTTCATAAGTATTAGGTAGTATAGCATTAGGATGTGTTTGCTTGTTGATGTTATAATTGAGTGGCCCTTTCTTTTCCTGTGCTTATTGGACTGGGCAATATGAAGGCAGAAACTACAGTAACGCCATCTGCGATTAGTTTTGACCGGTCATCTCCATGGTAAAATTATGTCAGCATAAATGTAGCAGTGGTCACGTTACTTGTAATATATCAATAACTTATTGTTTACAGGTGTCCGAGCGGCGCCGCTGTGGGACTCTCAGAAGCAGCAGTTCGTCGGCATGCTTACTATAACGGACTTCATAAAAATCCTACAGATGTATTACACAAGCCCCAATGTAGCTATGGAGGAGTTGGAGGAGCATCGCCTAGAGACTTGGCGCCGTAAGTAGATGAGCACCATCCTGATGACAGTAAAAATCACAGAAACTAGTGACAAGAACTGATATTGTATAATCCTAAATAAAACCTACAAATTTATCGCCTAATGGGAAAAATAATATAACTTAAAAATGTAGCTAGAAAAACGTTATAATCTTATATAATGTAATTTTGTTTATCAATAGTATCGTTATCGACAAAGGTAAATCAGAAACCGAAAATAGGATAATTAAATGTAATAAATAAAAGAAACATATCGTTGTACAACAGTGTAAACTTATTTATTCTTAATATATTTACTTAAAACTAAGGTTAGAGTCTTAGCTAGAGTCTGGCAAACAAAAGCCGATCCCTAGTTTTCATAATAAATTAAAGTGGCAAAGAAGGCAAATTTAAAAAATATTGGCATTTTATCCTTAACGATAATCTCAGAATAATAATTTGGAAATTAATTAAAATTATGAAAAATATATAGAAATGCACACAATCAAATTGTTTTAATTCGAATCGGATTCCAAAATTTTAGAATTGGGTGAAAATATGCATAGAACGTAATAATTCAAATTCCTCATTTATCAAGTTATTAAAAATATTAGAATGATTTTCTCCTAGTAATAGTAATAATACCATATAAAGATTTGTAATTGCCATACTTTTTCGGTATCAACTTACGTGTGCGCTAGAGTTAGCGGTAGCACACCTGGTAGCGGGGCGTATTCTCTGTTGGAAAATCATTAGGATTATCGTTTACCTCAGATGTGCTGAAAGGTTCCGTGATGCCGCTAGTTTCAATTGGACCTGACTCCTCACTGTACGACGCCATCCGTATCCTGATCACGAACAGAGTACACAGGCTGCCGGTCATCGACCCCGAGACGGGCAACGTGCTTTACATACTCACGCACAAGCGGATATTGCGCTTCTTATTCTTATACGTAAGTGGTGCAATCATCAATCTTATACTATCAACACGAACGAACATTGAACGCAATCAAATTTTGTATTACGAATGCTAAATTTTGAAGTTATATTTATTGTAGCTTTTCTTTACCATCCATATCCATGGACTCTCTGGATCAGAGCAGATTTCAGTATCAAAGTTCAACGAGTGCGTATCTAACGGATATCGTAAATTTATTCATATTTAATACATCGGTTCTTGTAATCCACAGATTATAAATAGCAAGTTAAGAATAAGAATATTTTTTTTATATTTAACATTTTGAATATTAAAATAAGTTAATATTTCAGAAATTAAATACAATAATTATGATTTATTTAAAAAATTACTACATAATTATTGTATTTAATCCATTTCGCTACCCCAACCCCATATTAGTAGGACAAATGGATTTTTTAAGTATTTTTCATTAAGAATACTACATAATTATATTAATATTTTGGAAACGGTAACTTATATGAAGTTACCGTTTCCAAAATATTAATTGTTTATTACTATAACTGTCAAGTAGCCAATGGAATACAAGTGAATCAAGAAAAAAGCCGGTATACCTAATGCCGAAAACCGATAGCCCTAACATTTTAATGTCTATGCGATGACCGCAGTACTACTCACTAATGGGTCTTGAATCAGCAGTTTACCGACATATTAAGTAACACTACGCCTGAACAAATATCTTCTCATTTTTCTAGATAAATGAGTTGCCGAAGCCGTCCTACCTACAGTATAAGTTACGCGACTTGCGCATAGGTACACTGAATGACATCGAGACAGCGACAGAGGAGACTTCTATCATAGACGCACTGAGAAAGTTCGTCAACAGACGCGTGTCGGCATTGCCGCTGGTGGATAGCGAGGGCAGGCTCAAGGACATTTACGCCAAGTTCGACGTCATTGTGAGTGTACTCTGTGTTATTTTATATAACTGACAGCAGATCAATAGATTTCTATCGATTCGGCGACACATACTCACACTATAAGTGCATAGGGCACACACAGGTATATGAATACTTTTATAAACACCTTATAAATATAATGGTATTCAGAAGCATTGCGAAATATTAGATACGTATTCGAAGTAAGGCATTCATGATCGTTTCAGTAATAAATCAGTTATAATTTTTTGCTTTATTCGTAAAAAAATATTGTTTTGTTTTCTGTGCATAATTACCCGTTTGATTAGATTCAAATGAATATAATCAAGTATAAACTTAAGTGGTATATAGTAAAGCAATTAAGAAAGTATGGTGTATGTACAGTTTATTTGAAGTTTGAAAAGCCAGGACGATTCAGTTACAAGACAGGCACAGTAATTCAATAGTTAAACAAAATTACAAGTAATAAATAATCTTCAGTATTTTAAAGTAAAAATAAACGATTAAAGGTAATTTTAGAAGATAAATTTATGTTCTAAGATTTCTGTTTTACTTACACACAGAATTTAGCTGCGGAAAAGACATACAACAATTTGGATGTGTCACTGAAGACGGCGAATGAACATCGCAACGATTGGTTCGAGGGAGTTCAAAAGTGCACAATGGATGAGACCCTATACGATGTCATGGAGAAGATAGTGCGAGCCGAGGTTAGTTAATTAGCACTTGAAAAATTATTAGAATCATATTATAAACTAGCTGACCCGGCAAACGTCATACCGCCATTAACCGTTTAAAAAATAATACATCATGAATCATAGGACACATAAGAAATAGAATCATCTAATTTGGTGCAATCGGAACTGGAATTCTGAAGTTATGCGCGTACATCCGTTTCGCCGATTCATTTTTATTCGTCGATATTTAATAGCTAGCCCGGAGATTTTTATTTTTCGATAGCTCATTAGTTAATATTTCTTTTGATATAGTGTAAAAGGCAATTTTGATCTGCATTATATGCATAACTTATCTAATTTATTTATTTGAATAAGGATCAATATTGTAATATGAAAAATAAGTTCGTAAATAACCCATCATTTTACTGTTTTAAGTATACGTAAAAATGGTTATTGTGGGTTATCCTTGGAATATGGACATATACCATCGCGGACTTTTTTGTAGATCTATTAAAGAGGTAAAATTCCACCATACAATATTTTGTTATAACTCAAAAGTTTATGGCAGCGTTTTCGAGTAAAGCTTCCGATTGGCTTTATTTTTTCTGACATATTGAACTAATATCGTTGTTATATAGTCAGTTTGTAAAAAACCTAAACTTACTATATACTACAATACTCCTCTTCAATCACTCTGTCTTTTAAAAAAAAACGCATCAAAATCTGTTGCGTAGTTTTAAAGATTTAAGTATACATGGGGTATACAGGGACAGAGAAAGCGACTTTGTTTTATACTATGAAGTTATATTGACGTCATTATCAGTCTATACTGTTAATGTATAAGAGCCTTACCCACGTGCTGGCGACATTTTATTAAAACCTTTTTTATAGTTTTGTAAACATACTTTGTATATTTTTAATATTTGCTTTTATGTTCTATGTATGAACGAAGTTTACATTCGAATCTTGGAATCTGAGCATTGATGTGTATGATGTTACTTATATACTAATTCTAATTAATCTGTTTCTTTCTGATTTTATCAATGTGAAATTCCGTATTTTTTTTTCTGTTAACACTGATTCGTTTTCTTGTCTTCTTACTTTCTTTACGATAATAAAGTTTTTTTTTTCTGTTTCAGGTTCATCGTTTAGTAGTCGTAGACGAAGAGGATAAAGTGATAGGCATCATATCTCTATCCGACTTGCTGATGTATCTCGTATTGAGGCCTACCGGTGAATGCGGCGGTGCCAGTTTACGTAACGAGCACGCGTCTATAGAAGAAAAGGACGAAACACCCGGTGCCGAAGAGGAGGACAAACTCGAACCGGACGTTTTCGAAGCGGAGAACAGAGCAAGACGATCCGTAGACAGAGACGGACAAGTCGAGGTAATCAATGACGAAACCGAAGTCAGTGACGACACGGACACTCCGGAGGAGAAATAAAGTTCACTGATATCGTTATATCCTCTGCATGTATGTAAGTAGTTTATACCATCAGCTGTTACTAGGCCGCTGGACAGATAGTGTGAATTCGTTTATATAAATATTTGGAGTAAACCATTTTTGGTGGTGTAAAACGTATATTACCTAAGCCGTTATTATAGAAACTGTTTTATCTATTTTGTAATAACTATGAACATATTTGTGATTCATGTAGATTACAATGTCTGTCTAATAGTTTAGTGGTAATTAGTTCTTAGTCATAGATGACGTAATACGTGTGAGCGCGCTTGGTGGTTTCATTGAAAGTCGGTTGTGATAATGTTTCAGTGTCTTCTTTACGGCTCACACACTCGGAATGTCGAAAAAAACATGTTCAATAATTTTTTAAGGTTCGTTTGAAAACTGATTTCATTTTAGCCCCTTACTCTTACAGCAAAAAGAATAAGGTTCATATTCTGTATATATATATATTTTAAACATGACTAGCCTGATTTTATTATGATTCAAATTTTTAACAAAATATTATTCATTCGGGCGAAATATCCTTTTTTATAAATTGATAATTTTTTTATTGACGTGATAGTTTTTCGTAAAGGCAAAGTAACATTTTTTATTTTAATCGAGTTGGATCCATACCTGCGAACCCTCACTTATCTTGTATAATGAAATAGATTTTGATAACAGTTTTTCAAATTCCAATTTTTAGATAGTTATACGCGTATTCCATATTGTTTGTATAATTGTGAACAAGCTGTGTTTTATTGTAATGTTTCTTTTTTAATTATTTTATTTTGTTTTCTCGTGTTTACTCCCTCTTTGGTGGAGGCCGAAGTACTTATGATTATTTTTTAACTGACGAATAGTTATGGTTGCGTTTAATATTACTGTTTGTATTTTTTTTATTCGAACGCAACGTGCGCTACTCACATTTTAGGTACATGCCTTTTATAACATTTAAAATATAAATACTTAAGGTTTAGAATAGGTTATTTCTCGTAATATCGGCCTCCACAGTTATTATTATATTGTGATAAAATGGTGAGCGATATTTAACTTACATTTATCTATGTAGTAGTGTGTATCTCTCTGTTTGCAATACCTTCGATGGAATTTAAAAAATTTAACTGTAATAATTTTTGGTATTGCAATAGAACTTATTAGTGGTATACGTGAAGTCATTTGCTATTTTAAAATCTTTAGTGAGCTCTGCTGATATGATCATCTCAAAGAAATGGCGTAGACGCATTTTGGAGTCGCTATGAACTTAAGTTCCAAAACATTATAATTCAATTTCGCATTTAAATAAAGCCTTATGATATTTACTCTATTACATGTCTACTAGGCTATCGGACAATAATCGTGTTGAAGGGCTTAAAAGTGACAGTTATTTTATAATTTACTTGTAGGTACTTAAATTTGTAACACCATGTTTTAACTATAATAAATGAGAATAAATCAATTATGTACGTTTGAACAATAAAATTGTTATTCATATTTCATATTATGCGCATTTGCTTAAGGAATACCTACAACGTGAAGATAGGCAAATATCATGCGAAAATGCGTTGCCTAATTGCGCGCGAAACTCTGAGCGATTGTTATCTATATATCAAATACTAAAGTGAATCACTCGCTGTTTATGGGGAAATATAATGTAACTACTTACGCGCCTTATGTGAGATAGAATGGTAACGTTCTAAGTCCCGTAAGTGTGATAATTGTTTTGCCTCGCGGGCAGCGAGTGCTTATTACTGTAATTAAAAACGTATCGTAACTCTAACCATCCTTTGTGTAATAACTGTTATCTTAACTAGCGGCCACGCACTTCACTAATTAGTGGGGGTGAAATTTTCAGTGTGATAAGCTCTATAGACGTGTAAATACCAGCGCCCGCTGATAATATGACGCGTTCAAGTTCTGTTATGTTATTTTCTTTGGCTGAACAATTTAAAATCTATTCTGTATCCGTGAAGCATCCCGAACCGTCCTGCGGTTTGTTAACGTTTAGATCTTTTAGGGTGACGCACAATTGAAGCGGAGTGGAGCGGCTTTGTCTCCGTTCAATGTCAATTGGAATAACGGACAACGATGCAGAGTAAAATAAAGAAAAAAGTTTTAAAGAACTTTTTTAATTACCTTTTGAAAACTTTTTTTACTCTTACCTTTTTTTTGCGCTTGCAGTCAAGCTCGTGGAAAATCAGGGGTAGTGTTCGTTCAATATAGACTGCGCCTGAACACTCATTTAAAGCGTAACGAAGCGAAGAAGAGATGTATTAATCGATTAAATTCTATCGGTCAATTAAATCACCTGCCCGCTTGAATGGGGTGTCACCACTATTACGATTGTTGTTTAGAAAGTCTTAATAGATTGAAATTATCGAAGCATCGAAAGAAAAGTCTTCTCGTGTCATTCTGTTAATGAGTGCCGGTATTAAACGTTAATTATTGACGCTCACGTGTTCCGCAAGTATTATGTAATGTTATTAATTTATGAATAGAGTAAAATACTATAACTTTATATATAATGTTGAGTAATTGTTTAAAAGCGGCATCCTTTAGCGCCATGTAGTGTGAAGGAAAATTTATGTAAACCTTTAACGTAACATGTCAAGATAAGATAAGATAAGCGTTCGTTTGATATTGTTATTTAACCATCTAGTAATACAAGCGGTTCTCTAGTAGAATATTTATTACTTACAGAAGAAAAACTTAAAATTTCGGCGATTATTTTCTTTAGTAGAATAGTAAGTATAACTGGATGGTTAAATTGGTCAATTTTATTAAGTTTAACGTGTTCAATGTAATTCAGATGTAAAAACCGATCATTTTTCTATTGCCCTGAAGAATTCTCCCAAGGGCAATATGTATCTGTGTATTTATATTATTATAAACATGCCTTACCTATCTTAACAAGTAGATATATAGTCATAGGAATTATCAGAAATTAAAGTGTTGAATAATGTTAATAACGTATATTTTATTAATAACTATTTTTTTTAAAGTTAAGGGTGTTTGAATAATAATATACTAGAAATACTTGGATATATATTGCTCTTAGGATAAATCAGGCGTATTGGGCTAACCTGTAAAAACGCACACGTACGACACTACAGACATGAATAAATACTTATGATTCCATCGTTGTGCTGGTTTTCATTAAATATATCTCTTCATACACTTCCTAAATGAGATTATATATATGTACAGTCGGACAAAAAAGTGATCAGTCTGTTTTGATAAAAGTTTCTGTGAGATCTAATTATCTATAAGTTTGACTTTACTAACTTTCTAAGTACTAATACTAAGATTATGAATTATTATGTATTTGGCTGCTTGAGATCTTTGAAGAAATGGTTAATGTGGTATTATTGTTAGGGAAAATAGAACTTGTTGTTCCAGGATTTTCAAATAAATCTCAAGTGGTAGATCATTGCAAAAGCAAAAATTCGAAGCTCGTCAAATGTCTGCTATAAGAATGATTCAAGTAGCGCGCCACGAGCGTGTTATACGAAGAGCTAATACGTTTTATTTTTCACCTTACGGCTATTGAAATAAGATTTCAAGGAAATTTGATGGTTCGTTTGTTTATTGTTAGAATAGATTTTGATTTACACTCATGAAGATTCACGATTCGTCCTAATATTTGGATCTTCATATCCACATACATATACACAAATACGCTGTCTATATGTGATATGAAAATCTATGATTTTATTAAGGAAAGACAGACGGACGGTGTAGGTGGTTATTTAGGTACGGTGATTAAGTCCTCGTAATATTTGAAACAATGAATGAAGATGATTTTCTACATCGAAACGACCGCGAATTGAACCCCCGGGACCTCAGAGATGGTGCCACTTTAAAACTGACCAATGAGAACGTAAGTTCTTGAAAGAAATATGAATTGACCCGTGAAGTTATAAACCTGCATTCTATCTATAGCTACTTAGTTGAAATGAAACTACAATATCATTTATTAAACATTCTATTATAGTTGGTTAACTTATACAAGAGTCGTTTACATATCACAAAGTATTCCTAACCGCAGTAGCGGACCAAGCGAACAGCGAGATCCTTTGGTCCAAAATCATTACAACAAATGAATGATACATCTAGATAACTATTATAATAGATTTTGCAAATAATATTTGTTATAAAAATGACTATTAATCATAATAAAAAACTACTCGTAGGTCGGTTAACAAAATCGTGCATATTATTATGAAAATGTATTTATTTTTACCAATTTATCAGGTTAGAAATTATTGTAAACATTGTATTTCTCTATATAAGAATTAATACGATTATTTGTTACGCTCTTTTCTAAAACCGTGCGAGAAAGGCAAAAATGATATATTAGGTTATCAAAAATAAGTGCTTTTGTGTTCTACCATCAACATATCAAGGTTTACAATCGAATGGAGAAGTGTAATAATCATAGACAGTTATGAAAACATGCATTTAATTGTTAACCGACCAAAAATTTGAGACGAATCTATCTAGGCTGGGTGTATATCTGATTGAATAGTATATAAAAGGTAATTTCTACGAGTACCTATTGTTCCTAAGATACTTTATAGGTGTGAGAATAATCAATAAACATTTGAAATAAAATACAGGACTTGCAATTTTGAAAATTTAACAAATTATATTATATTTAATTATAAGTAAGTTAGACACCTAAAATATTGGTATTATTAATATATTATTGGGTCTTTATCGATAATACCAATACCATCGCATGAGTTTTTCCTAAAAAGTAAACTGGATTTTATGGTAAGGCGATCTAGGATACACCAGACCTAAGCGAAGTAGAAAATAACTTTATAAGTAAAATTTATTAGCGATAAACGAAAAAGCAACTAATAATCGACAACTTATAGATAAAGACATAATATTATATCGCATTAATATAACATTTAAATTATTTATTATAAATTTTGCATTCATTTGAAATATTATTTAAAGACACTTTCCTGTTAATTTACTTAAGCAAAACA